CAGATTGAAACTAAGTACAGATTATTGTATAAGAACCATGCTACTTTCCCAAATACTATAAATTCGCTTAACTGTTTAATGGCAAATGCATGGTGGAGTATGAGCATTAAAAAAAAGTCCTAATGAATACACTTTCTTATTTTTCACGGTTATTGTAACTTTTAAAATAATACCAACATTTGCGAGGCATCTTGATTAATCCTGTAAATTCCAGGAAATTTTTTTTTTCTTACAGGACAGGCTAAAAGAATAGGATTAGGCTTTGATAAATTTAGGTTGATAAATGTAAGATTACATTTACCAACCGCATACGTGCAAATCAGTTTTGAAACATTTCTGTTCGGTATTGGAGCTGGGCCTCATTTTTCCATGCCACAAATAAAGCAAATGTGTAACAAATGCATCATTTATTAACAGTTCTTCCATTATCAAGCTATTAAAGCTTATGGCATTAATTGGTCAGAATAGGTGATTCTCTATTGCCCTCAAAGGGGCTACGTTGTAGCCCTATATCCAGAGAAATCAGTGGGTGTTTGTAAATTTGTAATTTAAAAGACACACTGTTCTCAATTAAGTTACGAAGGTTCATTGTTGATGGTGATGGGAAGGAGCAGGAGGCAAGTATCTAAAAAGGCATCGTTCAGCTGTGTGGTTAGGAAGGCCTTGGAAATCACATTTACTGGCCTTGGAGTTTCTGTAGGATGGACTCATTGATTGTATCCTGGTTATAAATGACACTACAGCTAAATTAGAAGTAGATAATGTAGACATTTTGCTTAGATTGGAATAGTCCTGTAAAAGAGTCAGTACTCCTTCTGTGTTATAATGAACTATCCCTTTTATTTCTTATGGAAGTACTGTTGGTCTGAGTATATTAGACTTCAAAAGCACTGGACCTTCAGGCAAGGGTAGCACTCAGCAAATGTGTGCACGGGAGACTACCAAACCCCGGAGTTCCGCAATAAGCCTTTGCTGATGACTGAAGCTACTTTATGCATCAAACTGAAGCAGCCTTGGAGATGGAGAGACCTGGCAAGAGAAAGCCAGAATGGGGCAAAGCACAGAACTGCAGGAGCCATATAATAGAAAGAAAAGAGATTCTGTTCACTAGGGACAGCACAGGGAGAGGACCTTTGCGGAGGTGTATAAAATTTTCAGCTAATAATATGCTGCAGGCTTTCCTAAATAGGAAAATGGCTGAAACAGCAACTAAAATGGAGTACCACACAGATAAAACATCAAGGATGATAAAACTACCTTTGTCAAAAGCAGCTGTGTATCACGTTGGAAAGTCAGCCTTACATACAGACAGATGGAAAACTAGTGTGCTTTTCAGACTTACACATTCAGCGCTTTTTTTTTTAAACATTTAAAAAGATTTCAATATTAAAGGCCCACAGGTTGACCTATTTGGTCTTAAATACTAAGATAAGTAGTGAAACCTGATTCCTTCTCTCTGTGCACTTGGAGATTTGTAATAAATTGACAGAAACTTATTTTTGAGAATATAAGCACATAAATAATTTACTATCTTTAAGTAGGGATATGACCTTACACTAACTTAGCTACCCTGCAGTAATGGTTATGTGAATAAATGTATCATGGAAAAGCAAGATGATTCAAGACAACGTATACATTGAGTGATTTATAAAATTCCTAAGTAATTTCTAGCATAAAAATGGCATTTTAAGGGAGTGATTTTTATGCAACAGTTAATCCTGCTGCCTCTTTTTTCCTGCCAAAATATCTGTTTGCAACTTCACTTATTACTTGGTCATACCAAGCTCTTCTTTTTTCTTCCACCTGTGTGTGATCATGTGTTTCCTAGGCAATTAAGAGATTCTATATCCAAGGCAGGAAATTGACAATTTCAGAAAAGAAAACAGTTGGTTTTTTTTAAGCAGTGTTCAATGTCTTTTCCACTCAGCAAAACAAATGTTTGAGAGTTAAGGAGGATTAAAACAGTATTTCCTTGGGTTCACAACTGTATCATAGGACATAACAGGACACAAAATGACAATTGGAGCCTGGAAAAACTAAATTCTTGCATTAGGGTGTGAGTTGAGTTTCATGGGGGGGTTAAAAGGAACAGTGTCCTCTTGCAGTATATTGTTCTATAACTGCCCACTGTGGAATTCAAAGTAATTAAATGGTCCTGGGCACTGTTCAAGACTACTGAATTAAAGTAGTGATTTCATCAGAGAAGTAGTGATTTGCCCACAGAAGTTGTGGATGCCCCATCCCTGGAAGTGTTCAAGGCCAGGTTAGATGAGGCTTTGGACAACCTGGTGTAGTGGAGGATTTCTCTGCCCATGGCAGGGGGGTTGGAACTAGATGATCTTTAAGGTCCCTTCCAACCCAAACCATTCTATGATTCATCTGTATTGGCAGTTCTTGTGATTTCTTCAAGCTTCTACACTTGCCCTGTTCCTTGGTCATCTTTTCTGTTCCCCTATGCAAGTTTTAAAGCCATTTGGTCATTTTGTGTTCCCTTCAGGGCTGGAGGAAGTTGTGTTCTGCCTGATTCCCTGGTTGCTTCTGCTTCCCCTGGTGTTAGACCCTGGGAGGTCTGACTCATCTAATTCTTCTGTAAAGTGCCTACAGCTTCTTACAAAAAGCTAGACTGGTTTGAAGGCTTAGAATTGAAGTAACAAAGAGCAGAAGCCAATGATGCATGATCAGTAGCTCCCAAATTTCAGTGCTGGAGCATATAAATGTTACAGAAAAGCAGGGGTGAGAGGGGCAGTAGAAATTAATCCCATTCATCCTCTGTCCTAAGGGAAGATGTTACCCCTGAACCATTCTAACATATGTTGTTAATACCAGCATGTACTCCCAATGCAGGTGTTCATTGTTGGCTTCAGATCTTCATGTGAGATGGTAAATATGAGGCTGTTTCATTTATGCTTAGATTGCTGTTACTTTAGATCTTACAGCAGAATGAGGCATCACATTGTATCAATAAATGTGTAGTTAGGAAGCATTTTAAGGGATTGACGTGAGCCACGTTTTACAAGGCAAATTTTATTGATTATTAATAACTGCAGAGCCATGGTAAGTAAGGACATTGAAGAAGATTATAAGAGTTGTGTATTAATTAGGATTGCATCCTGGCTGAAACCGTCAGATATCTTAGAGTGATGATGCATTTAACTGCATATATTTTAACAAAAGTAGGTATGTGAAAGGACTTGAGAGAGAGCAGTTTATTCCTTTCCTAGAAATCTGTAGGACAGCTCAAACCTCACCGTAGTCTGTCCTTGCTCTTCTTACTGAAGTATAAATTGCAGTCTGTATTTTTAAGGGTATAGTCTTGTTAAAAACACATATACAGACCAATTCAACCTCAGAGGTACAAAAAAACCCCCACCCAAATCTTACTCTTATTAAATTACCAAGATGGGCTGGAGAACAATGGCACTGTAGAATTGGAGGGATGTTAGTACACTTGCTTGAACAACAGTTCAGCTGATCATGTATTTAAAAGCAGTTTTGGATCAAAGCTGTCTAATCACCCATGAGAAATGTCAGCACACAATATTACTGTATTCTAAGTAATTCTGTCTCTAGAGGAAAATTTAGGGTCCTAAATTCAGGGTTGATGTTGTGTAAGCATGTATATTTTTCTGATTAACGTAAAGAAAAATTTTAAATAGTACTCAGCTGCTAAGGCATACTACTTAAGATTCCCCTGCTAGATAGGGGAATGTGGTATCAATTTTATTTTAATCCGTTTTTCCTTTTCACATTTATAGGCTGATGCACCTAACCCAGGGCTTATTCCCGATGCAGATGCAGTAGGTGTAACAGTTGTGCTAATTACATGCACTTATCGAGGTCAAGAATTTATTAGAGTCGGCTACTACGTAAACAATGAATATACCGAAACAGAACTGAGAGAGAATCCACCAGTAAAACCAGATTTTGCTAAGGTAAGACATGCTTTGTTTCTAGTCGTGTATCAAAGGTACGCTCATAGAAAGAGGTTTTTAAGAAACAAAACCAAACACCGTGTTACTATAAAGTGCATAGAAGAAGGCATCAAATAACGTAAAAGACTTGAGGGGAGAAACTGCAGGTGCTGTGTAGTTGTATAAATTTGGAAGACACTGAGAAACCTGCAGCGGTTTCCACTGGCTTGAAGCCTTGGTTGGGCTTTATTATTTTATGCTGATTGTGTGAGAGAAACCGTTGGGTTCTCTGCTGCGCCACTGTTGACAAAGCGGCTCTGTTGTTCTTCAGAGAAACAGAACAATGTTTTTTCAAGGACAGTCAGCTTGGAACTAAGTTGTAAGCAATAATTTAACACAGTTGTTATCCAGCTGTTCTAGTGTTAAGAGCTGCAGTTTCTGCAGACCAGTAACAAACAAACTGAAGAACAAGTAACATAAAACGAGTGAAGATGAGTAACCTGTTAAGAGCAGGTTGGATGATTATCTGATCAATGGACAACTTGACCACAGAAGTATACAGATTAAGTTTTTAAAAAAATATATATCTCCTTCGTGGTAAAAATTAAACTAGGACTAGAATTAAAAGATCATGTGAAACACAATTATTTGGAACCTAATACCGTGAGGAGAAGGATCAATTAAACATCAAAAACTAGTCAAAATCCTATGAAATAATCTACCCAGGCAGACTCTGTACAAACCAACACGGTTCTATACAGCATCTGGGTTTGTTTTCATGGAAGATTTTGTGGAGTTGGGTTTTCTCTTTATGAAAGCGGATGTACTGGTGCACATGCTTAGTTTCCAAAGTTGTGTGAGGGTGAAAATTTTGTTATTTCTCAAGTTTGCATGAATTATATGACTGGGTATATGAAGAAATGAGGGGGATAATGCATTTACTGTAATGACCAGTACAGAGATAATCCCCATAGTCTCTGACACTGAATTTCAATGTAACTACACTGAACTGGTTTTTAAAAGCTGCTAATGATTTTCTATGCTTAACTTAATTTTCAGGGATCAGATGCTCAGTATGTTCTCAAAATTTGAAATTACTGTTAATTTTGAAGACTCTTACATTTATAATCTGTTCTTTTGTTTTTTCTTTCATTTAAATCATATACTTATTTGTTATTTTGGGTGTGACTGCCAGAATGTTGACTTCCTTTAAGCACTTTAAATTAAAAATACCAAGAACTACTTGTCGTAATTATCTGATTTGCTTATGTAAAAAACTGACTCTGCTTCTATGAAAAAGAACAGTAAAAGCTATCGCATATTTGCATAAAAAGTCCTTAATATGACTTTGGAACAGAATTTAAACATACAGTAGAATAAAAGATTATTAAACACATTTAATTGTAATTGATGGGTAATAGACCCTATAGATTCAAAAAAAGAAATGGTCTTGTTAGTTTGCATAAGGGGCTGGGAAATATTTAATGAGTGCACTTCCTTGGAGAAGAAAATCAACATGACTACTGAAGCAGACTTTTCCTGTGATCCGTCTTAACTTTCACAATGAGTGGCCAATGGTAGTAAGCTGCTGTCCTCCGGAGTTAACTATATATTATCTTGAATATGGTGAAAGATTAAGTGAGCATTTTCTTTTTTGCTGCATACGTGAACAAATACAACATGTTCTCAAAGGAAAATGAAGGCTAGCCATGATAATAAAATATGGCTCGTGTCTAGGCATGGTCGCTGCCACAGTGTGAATATCTTCCAAATCAAAGTATGTTTTTACTTTAAAACTTTAGTAGACAAATTAAAATTCAGTTTGTGAAATCAATCTAAAGCATGGTAATTTAATCTAAGGAAAGGTTGTACCGTGAAATGAAGACAGACAGTTGATGGAATTGATACAATTATTGCAAGCACCATAAAGTTGATGCAAAATTTTACAAAGTACTGTGGTTTGCAAAATCTTTATTGGGGTAGTCACGTGCTTTACTAAGAGCTGGCTAAAACAATAAGCACTTGCACTTTAGTTGCAGAGTTCTCACACAGCCTTGAACTCACAGAACAGTTTAAAAAATATCCTCTCAAATAAGCAGTTATTTTGCTGACTGGAATATTAGAGTAAATAAATGAGTGTTGTGTTTCTGTAAGCCTTTTTCTGATCTATAGTCGCTATAGATTCACGTTTTTATGAATTACCTTTTTAATATGGGGAGTAAAAGGAAAAAAGTCTATATACATGTGAACTCCAGTTTAAGATGTACACGTTACATAATCCATATATTTTCTTCCCTCCCAGCTTCAAAGGAATATTTTGGCATCTAATCCCAGAGTCACAAGATTCCACATTAATTGGGAGGACAACACTGAAAAACTGGAAGATGCAGAGAGCAGTAACCCAAACCTACAGTCACTGCTTTCTACAGATGCATTACCTTCAGCATCAAAGGGGTGGTCAACATCAGAAAATTCATTAAATGTTATGTTAGAATCTCATATGGACTGCATGTGACTAACCACCATCATTTTGGTGCTGTACATGTGTTAAACTGTAAAAACAACCAGAACTATTTCCCTCAAATTCCATAAGTACATAGTTGACAAGCAATGTGAAGAACTTGTTTTAAAACATCCTGTAGAAAGTTTATAAAAAAAACCCAAAACACAGTATTTGAGCAAATTGTGGAATATAAATACAACTATTTTTAAGTAATTGCCTTTTTTCTCTAATGTGTTACTCTATGTGGTCTAAACCAAACCTGATTAAAGCATACCTATTCTTTACTTTGTAAGCACTATTAAAAGCTAAAAAACTGGAAGTTGAAACATTCAGGCAAAATGAAGGAATAAGCCACGTCCTCATCTCTGGTATCTAAATTGCCAAATACAAAGTGTCCTTTAGTAGCAGCTGAAGAACAAAACTGTCAATAGATGGAGTGCAAAGAAAAAAGTATTTCTTAACAAAAAAAAAGTCCTCTTGCTGCGAAAGCAGGCAGCATAGTACAATTTTAGGTGCAAGCTTCTTTTACTTTCAAGGCACATTCTTGTTACTTAAAGCGTGCAATTTGAGATTTACCATCTGCTATCTTGGATTTTAGGACTCCCTTTTTTTCAATCTCCTGTGGCTGCTGTTTGGTCAAGCTGTGGTTTGCTAAGGGCAGTGTTTCATGTGGTTTGGGCAGGTATCTCAGCAAAGAGCCCTTTTTCAGACACCCTAATAGCACACACGGTTAGTTGGAAGGATTGAAGCAATTGCTAGAAAATTTAAGCATTAAGAGGAATAGCATGAGCATCCAAAAAATCCTCTTCTGCAAGATTATTATGTGCAACTGCTGGTTGATAGGTTTATTTTCAGGTCTGATTTATTCTTGTAGTCTTTTTAACTAGTAATAAGGAGTTTAGATGCTTTTTTTCAGTTTTTGAAACATCTAGAATTTAAAACCTTTCTGTTTTCTCCCTACCCTTTACGGCAATCCTATGCACTGGTATAAATCAAGATTCAAACCCTGTTGTGGCAGGCATGACACGCTCAAGAATTCGTTGCCTGCCCTGAAGCTCTTGCACTGAGACATCCCTGTTACCTGAGGCATCCTTGAAGATAAAAAGAACGAGTCAGTAAATTGTAAAGACTTAAGACATTATTGTGACACTAAAAATTGAGTTATTCCTTCCAATCCTCATCAGCCTTACACGTTTACTGTGACTGTGTGTGCATTTAAAATTGTAATCTGTCATGTCAGATTACAAGAATATAGTTCTGCTAGTTACTAGTAACCACCCAAACTCTGAACCCTCGTTAGTTTCTAGGCCCTTAAAAATCATGATGACTGACAGTATAGCTCTGAATAAAAATAGAACACTTTCTCTTTTCTGCATTTTCTAACAGGGATGAAGATGTCCCAAGCAGTTAGCACTTCTGTCTTTCTGCATCATTAGTGGAACTGTTTTCATTTCTAACATTTATTTTTTTTTTTACATCAGAAGGGAACAAACATGGACGTTTGTTTTTCGTAGGGAAATGCAGCAGTACATATGGCAGCAGAATGAATTAATGAAATCCATTAATATTTGGAACTCTAATTCTAATGTGTGCTCTTGTTTAAAATTATGATTGGCAATTTAAAAACATTAACATTTTAATATCTGTATGACTTAACATAAAGAACTGGTCCCCTAAACCAGCAGTTGCTTCTCTTGAGGGCTGAAATTATTTGAAGATCTTTTGATTTTCAATGATACTGCAACTTTAATTTAATTATCATCTTTAATTTAGTAATTAAACTTAACTTTAATTATTGTCACTGTCTACAGTGACATTTTGAGATTTTTCATGCACTTTATTGTTCTATTTATAAACCTATTTGAGATATCTCTTAAATGTAAGCATGTAAATAACTTGGTCATCTGCTGAAAGATTGGCAGGCTAAAGAAGCCTGCCTTAAGCTAAGGCTACCATAGTATTTCAAACCCTTGCACCTACTGAAGATTCAAATGAAACAAGTACAAGCTGTAACCAAAATCCATCCATCAGCAGCATGAAGCCGCCTTAGAAGCATGTCTTAAAAAGTGATGGAAGCAAAGTGTGTTACTGCTATTGCAGAATGAACTACAAAATACAGCCAGCAAACCTACGTCACCTAGCAAACCAATTAATTTAGAGAGATCAGAAAGTGAAGATCTGTTGTTCTTTTTAGGAGAAAAAAGTCAGCTGTGCATGTAAACTCAGGTGCAGTAAACTTCAAGCTAGACTGGATGGCATGATGCTGCAGTAGAATTTGGCACCACCTTACCTGATACAGTAACACATCCTAGATAGAGCTGACCTGCCAATTACTGGAAAAAGAACAACTCTACTGTGCTTGGTGAAAACTGGAGAACAACTATACCTCATGAGGGCACTGCATGATCTTTGCAAGAGAAACGGCCTTTCTGTGCTTTTTGAGAGATTGGATGCCTCTCCGGTCTTCTACAACTTTGTCCAGATCTTAGCAGTCCACACACACTGTCTTCTGAATATCACATTTCCTGCCAAAATCTCATTCCAGAGACATGGAATTTGAGAAACCAAATTCCAGTACTCCAGAGGCTTCAGGTCTGATCATCCGGCAACATCACAGCACAACCTTAGAGGTATTAAAAGATACAGATGCATATAAGGTGTCTCTGTAAAGACCTGTCCATGATCTCTGAGTTTTGAAGCAGCAGGGCTGTACACAGGACATACAGACAGCCAGTGCAGACAGCGCAGCGTTACCATTGCAAGGTCACAGATGCATTCACCTTCTCACAAACCTCCACTTGCAGAGACCACCAAGATGCAAGAGAATGCTACAGATTGTATTGACAGGACTGGGGATGCATCCTACTGCATTTTAACCTCAGTTAAACAGACTCAATTCCATCAGAAGACTATCATAACGCTTTCCAGAGGTTATTCGTGTACAAAGTAAACGGATCAGACAAGGTACTGATCAACTAGGGATGAAAAACCTGAGTGGGTTTTTTTATGTCTAGCTGGAAAAAAACCCTTGTCCCTTCCTCTTACATTCATTGTGATTTATTCATGCATCACCTTCAGTCTGAATTACTGTGACGCTCTGAATTTGAAGGGGGCAAAAAGGCTCCAGCTCCATCATAGTGGAGGCTGGTGAAATTTAACCTCTCCAGTGGCTCTACAAAGCTGCACGGAAAAAGGCAACCCTTATTACCAATCTTCAAGCCTGGAGCAACTCATAACTTGGCTACAATAACCACAGTAGCTAAGTTTATAGCTCGCCAGACAATCTGTATGCTTGAGATGTGAGTGACAAAGTCACACAGATAAATCTGATGATCTGACAGTCCATTATTTTTCTTCGTAGGGTCTCAACTGCTCATTTTCTGGAAGTCAGCTCAGACTGGAGGTTAGCCACTTGCAGCTGTACAAAGATGGTCCACTGCCATCTGAAAATAGTGGTAGGGAAGAAAAAGGAAAAAAAAGTCCAGAACCCCTTATGCATGTACACTCCTGGCAGATCCTCGTGTACCAGAGACAGAAAAAGAGCAAAGTTGACTAAATCGTGTGGCTTCTGTCTTGGCAGCTGCAGGAGATCCTTCACACACTTACTGAACTACCCTACTACCCCTTATCCATAGCACAGTGGTCTGCAACCTTGCAGATTCTCTCATTTTTTTGAAAGCTGTGGAAGTTTGGTCCACTGATGATGCATTAATTGTCCCTGTTGTTGCTAGCTGGAGGGCTCTGCTCAGTGCCAACTGGGCAGATGGGACAAAACTGACAAGTACAGGTAAGGGCAGGCAGTGTGTCAGGGACTACTCGTGGTAGGCCTTCCCTTTTGTATTTATGTTTACAGTTAAAGTTCTGCTTCTTACGAGCTGTTCTTGTCATGTGTGATATGAGTGCTGGGCTGCAGAAGACAAGTGGAGAGATGTTTGCTTGATTTTTGGTCTAGGCAAAGAAAAATGTCTACAGAAGAAGAGCCAGCTGGAGTCACTAAGGAGGCTTTGTTAAAGGCAAAACCCAGGTTTGTATCTGGAATCTGGAAAGCAAAAGTCCTTTCAGGAGGGGATGGAGGGAGAATACACTTCAACATTTCCAACTTTTGGTAATGCTGGCTTGGAGGAATGGCTGGGTACTCATTGTCCATGGAATGAGGCATGTGACTGGCCTTCCTGTAGATAGAGAAAATCAGAGGAAGGAGGTGTGTGTGCTGCAAAAGGGCTGTACCAGATGTAAGAGAACAGTTACGTGTTAATAGCATTAAGTACTGGCTGAAATGTCAGGAACTTTATTAAGAGAGTTCTTGGTTCTCCTTCCAAAACACCCCTGGACCACGAGATAAGGTCTATCTTTCAACGTAAGGAGTTCTCCAGTTTGTCCTATCTCACTAGAAAGGTGTGGGAAACCTACACTGATACCAATTGAGAAGAAGCAGGGGCTTTATGATATGGTAAAGCGAATCCTGAAGACACAGGGTATCCATCCAAAAATCAACTGCTTGAAATGTCTGCCATTCCAACAGCAGGATGAAAAAGTCTAACCAAGACCTGCCTGGATGTATTATGCCAGAAGTTCATAAGACCTGACACCTCCAGCCAAAATGAAGATGTTGCTCCTGCAGTATTTCCTGTACAACCCAACTACAGGTCTTCAAATACAGATGTATGAACAGGCCAACATTTCTGAAGACAGGTATCTACTTGGCTAAATAATCTTTTGCATGCAGGTAGTCAAAGTAAACTCTGTCTCAGGACAAAGCTATCTTGGAGCAACACTACTGAGAGGAAACTAAGGGAATTTAAGGATCTGCAAGAGATGAGACATTGTTACAGATATGGCATATCTCTGGTGAGGTTTGATCACAACTTCATTCCTTCAAGTCTAGCAGACTTCCTACAGAGTTAAGGCCTCTTCAACTTGAGGCCCAACTTTAAGGGACAGCCAATGAAGTCATGCTGTCAGGAAAATATTTTCAAGGTACATGCTGATAGAAAATACTTCATGTGCGATTATGAATATTCAGGAAAACAATGAATAATCCTGTGGTAGAAGTGAAGATCCGAAAAGAGTGGCCTAAAGGCTGCATCTCTGTTAATAACCCAATCAGGGCCAGGGTACGGACCCACAGTAGTAAACTGTTAGTGTGTTCCCTGGCATTGCCTGGGCCTGTATCAACTAGGAACGCCCAGGGACAGTCTGGGGATCTACAAACAAGGAAAAACGCCTCCAGCTTCAGCATCTTGCACACCTCAGGATGCTGACACCACACACTCTCTTCATAACCATAGCTGGATGGCTCATGTCGGCCACTTTGAATTGGTTTCGAATGGCTCAGAGGACAGACAGCTGTTAGCACCCGAAGCCTGCCTAGCAGGGAGAAGCCTACTATGAAAAGAAAAATGTTTGTTTACCCTCAAGTCAGTTGCCTTCAATGAAAAGAAAAAAAAACCCACAGTAGCAAACAGCTGTTGGCATGATGTGAACAATGTTAGATGTTGCAAAATGTCAGCAAAAAGCCAGTACTCTCAAGGCTCTGTAAGAGGCTGTGAGAGGCCAGAAGGCTGCATTTCTTACTGCTCAGGAAGGCACATTGTACACAACTGGAAAGCTGGAGAAAACAGTTGATAGTCTCCCAGATTTTTAGACAAGCTGTTCTAAATACAGTTCACAAAATTCTTTAAGCAGTCCATCTGTGGAGGGACACAACACCAAACATAACTTTGCAGAAATCTGAACAGCCAAATATGCACCAGGAAGCGGCATAATGAGACTGACCCAGATGTCCACGAGCTCCAGACCCAGCAGCAGCTGGCATGTGTTGGTTCCTGTCCCTATGGAGTCAAACACATCGCTCACTCAATCACTGCAGATCTTAAGCTCCAGGGGAAAATGAAATATTTCCTTACTAGTGATTACCTCATCCAATTATGCACAAGCAGCACTATGGCTCTGGGGACTGCAAAACAGTTTGTTAAACTCAAGTGGTAAGGTGGGAACCAATAGAGAGAAATTGTTAAACCTCACTAAGTCTCTTTTTTTCTGGAAAACTATGTATCAATTTATAAAAATTAAAAGATATCTTGAATGATTCCCTGTCATTCTCAGATGAGAGACTACAGAGGAAGAACGAACCAGGCCTTTATGAAAATTAAACACTGCGTAGACAGAACCAGATAGTGGGACAGATGGTTCCCCCCATCTTCTATTTACAAATCAGAAAGTCCTATAGCAGTCAAAGAAATTTTTGCCACTGAGTTGTTGAATGTGGGCTGGCCTTCTGGCTGCCAACTTTCATTACAGAGATGTGGGAGGAACGAGCCCCAGTTCCTCATAAAAGTTATCAACTCGCAGAGAACTCTCAACAGAAAGTCTCTACTGAAGAGTTCATAAGAATGGCACCCTAATAAAACAACCCAACTCAGAAACACTATCTGGAGAGTGGAGGCAAAGTTCTGGTTTTACCCACAACAGAAAATAAATGACTGGTCATTTGCAAGGGCTGTTTGCAGCAAGTGGTCGACTTGAGCCTGTCGGTGAGATAAGAAAGATGACGATCTTCCACACTGATTCACTGGAACAAGAAAGCAGGGTGTTAGCCTGGGCCAAACTTTCTGAGTCAGGCAAAACCCATCTTACGCAGCACAGACTTTGTTTAAAAAAGGGCTGGGGAAGGCAGGAGCCTGTTTGAAAGAGCAGAAGCCCAAAAGCAAATCAAGCTGAGGAGTTAGGTTACTCTTTTCTGAAATTCTGTGAGAAAATTCCAGTTAGGTGTGGATGGGGTATTCGGCTGCAGCAGGTACATGACACTGCAGGGCCCCAAAGGACCATAGTGGATTTCAAAGCACATGATACTTAAGGTAGAGCAGGAAAGAAAGGGAATTCTGGCACAAGGAGAATGTTAATGATCTAATATGCTGTCCTGGTACCAACAACTGCTTCTACAGAAATCCAGGTAAAACCGATATGATAGACAGTTTTGGAAGCAGAATTCTAATTCTGTGGTTGATAAATAGCTCATGTCCTAAAACAGCACCAGATGGGTAAAGAGTACAAGATGTGCTAATGCACATGATCTTACCAAAGGTTGGTTAGATATCAGCAGTTTTCTCTAAAAGAGGAATCCACATGTAGGACAGCTTTTAGCACTTCTCCAGGGTTTACCAAATCTCAGGTGTGTCTTTTGGCCTATGTGGACTGTAATCCCAGAGCCAGCAATAAAACTGCAATCCAGACCGCTTTTTACACAAAGTAAGGAACTAGCTGAAAGTAGAACTTACAGATTTAGTCTTTGTACACTGGAGGGAAAAACATGCATGAGGACTCTCCTCTCACAAGAAAGTAGAAACTGGTAATTTGAAGTGTGCAATTAAGACAAGGAAAGTAAAACAGTTCTATTAGAAGAGCAAGTTGACAAAATCAACATTAGGTACAGTCATAAACATGTTCATAAGTAAGACACTCCTTGCACAGGGACATCCAAACTCCTGGGCTAGGAATTAATGCTTTAGTCCAGCAGTCCTAGCCATGGAAAGGTTCCCTGAGATTTAACTAGAGTTAATAACTTGCTAGGGACTCAAGTTTCGCTTGCAATAAGGGTCCTAAAAAATTTTAAGGTGGAAATTGGTGCTCCTGCTGTCAGATTTCAGGAAGGAGGTGGGGGGCAGGAAGAGGGAGAAGTTTTTTAAAATATAAGGAATATTTAAGTGAAATGTAGATGATCTAGAGACCCAAGACAATCCTTTCACAAAATGAAAGTTCGTCTCCATGCATCATTACAGCTACTCTACGGCATAGATACCACAATATTGCTTGTAAACTGCAATACTGGTTTTCAGGGAAATGTCTTTGAACCTAGCTATCATGGCTGAGATGGAAACCAGATCATACAGAAAATGAAGCACAGGAGGGAGATGTGGAGAAGAAGGCAACAGCAACATCAGAGGCCAGGAGCAGCTGACACAGGGAGATTACTACTGACAGAAGTGGGCAAAGTCACATTGAAATGCATGGCAAAATTTCACTCCAGGTCACCGTCAGTCCCCTAGCAAAATTTAAATTATCCAGCCTGTTCTCAGTTCTTAACAAAGAACAAAAGGTGGAGAAAAAGTAATGTTGAGCCAAAATGTTCCCTCTGGCTTCTCTCCAGGCCTATTTGTCAACAGTTTGGATGGAAAACCAGAGGCATATTTGCAGTTCTCTGCACAGAAGAGTATACGTTCAACAACATGTTCCACTTCCACAGCTACAGAAGACCCACTATACACATGTACACATAGCTACAGAAGTGGGAAAGATTTATTCTCTGGTTTTCCCATGTATAAATAATGCTGTTTCCCAGACATAAAATAAACCGCAGCACTACCTGAGAAACATTCAAGTTACACATGCTAGCTGAGACACTGGCATTTGTCCCTAATCACTTTACGATTTTTAATATACTAGTAATACAGTCACTTGCTCAAATAAAGTCATTTGCAGAGGTAATCCAACCCTGCACATTGTGCCCAGAAGAGTTTGTAAAGATACCTGGCATTCAGAGCCAGCTGGGACATAGCTATATTAAAAAAAAACCAAAACCCACCCCACAAACAAAAAACAACCCACCAAACAAACAAAAAACAAAACCCAACTTGCTCTCTGAAACCATCTTGAAACCATCTTTATAAGTCAGAAATAATTCCTCAGCACAGGGCTGAATTTCCAGAAAGTAAGCAGAAATCAAACTGGCACCCAGCCAGAACATATAAAAGAACAGAAGAGAGGAGAATATCTGTTCAGGAGAAACCAAAGGATGCTAGCCCATCACACAGTGTGAGCTCTGGAAAGGTGTCAGATTTGTCATAGCTGGGAAAAACACTACAAATACAGGTCCAGATCATCCTCTGCTAGCAAAGCAGTGAGAGGTGCCTCTTGATGAGGCTTGTAAGGTTCCCTGTTAAAAGCTCATCCCACTGCTCCACTGATAGAGAAGAAGGGGCAGGACTGCCCTTCTGCAGAGAGTCATGTCAAGCCTCATATGCCTCCACAGCAGTTCTTTGCTTCGGCTGTGCTCGTACAACCTGAGCACCTATGTTTATGTATGTAGGAGGCCTCTGTGTAAACATACTCCAGCAATAAAAGTCAAGTGTTCCCACTGAAGAAGCACATACCTGCACTTGTAGATCCAATTCCTGCAGTGAGCACCGACCGTGGTATAATCTTTACTGCATACTTGAGAAATTGGGATTTCCCTGTACCTGGGTCTCCGACCAACAAAAGATGTGATTCACCTTGGGGGAGAGCGCCGATGTAGGAGTAGACGGTTCATATGCGGAGAAAGATAGACATAAAATGTTCTGAATTAAATAATACTGCTCATTATTCACCCAGTGTTTAGTACTACACATACATTACAACATGCAATTCTGTTTAAGACTGCACTATTTACTGAGTGTGATAAACATGTTGTTTAACAAAAGCATCCAGTCATATTGCTGCACTCAAACCAAATATTTACGCTGAAGTATTCAAAAAGTATTTGCAGGTATTTGACATTCTTCCTGTAATGTGAGTTCTTACATTTTAGAATACTCATTTCTCAGACTCAACTTACTATTGAACATGAAATAGATGGATACCAGGGTTTAGTTATCATTCCACTACTCAGTTACTTAAGTTACTGTGAAAAGGACTAATAAAATCGGGAGGTTGTTTTTCTTAATCAACTGTCACATTGTCAACAGTTACACAATTTAGTAATATAATAACAATGCATTTACCGAAGTAAATAATTTGGCTACTACAATCTCACTGAACTGCTCTAAAATTATTTCATTGTCTTCTACAAAACATTAATTCAATTTCAATTCAAATATAAAATCTCTAACCTTATTTAGCTGCTGGAGCATTAAGAAAATCCTGTATTTGCAGATACAGTCATATTATTTTAGAATTATTATGACCTACATAGATTATGACCTGCATACCACCTGGCACATGGCATATTTGCCATCTAATAACAACAGAAGGAGAATCAGCAGGCAGATAACTTACAATAACAGAACTAAGTGAGATGTGCTGACAATCGCAGATGGAAAAGTCTGGCATTAGGAAGTAAAATGAATCCTTTAATTTTTCCTTTCAGTGTACTACAGTGATCCACATTAAGGAAACATTAATATTCCATCCTTTGATGCCAAATACTGCTGGGAATATTCTACTAGAAATAATTTTAAATGTCACTTATACAATAAAAAGTGAGTTTATGTTTTATCTAAAACAACTGCCTTTAGTATTCTACCTAATGGAATCCTGAACGCCTGCTTCTACTGGGTTCTATTGGGGAAAAATTAAAATAAAAAGAGAAGTCTAGACACCCACTTTATTTGTCTGAGATTCTGGAAGAATACTCAGCATTAATCAAAATCTCTCTCGCTCAAGAAAATGGGATCATTTCGCTCCTGAAACCTTACTGGCTTGATTTTGGAGAGGCAAGGGATTTGAGTGAAGACAGGGATGGGAATGACTGTCCGAAAGGATGTGATACTATTAGAAACACCACTAACCTCTGATTCGAGTTCCAGTAGCATCAGTCCTCTGTACACCACCAGCAAGCACCATGGCTACAGCCAGCTTCACCAGGTACAATCCAAAAACTTGAGGACATAAGCTAGCCAAAATTTCGTTTCTCCCTAGAACAGGAACAAAAAATGCTACTCAGCCCTAAGAAAAAATGAAATTAATGAAATTTTTCTCTTGAAAAACAGTAAATGTACATACATCCTGCTGTGAAATTGCCTATACTTTGGACTCCTTAGTCAAATTTGATCTCTGCCCTCACCTGAGGAGACTCAGATTCAGACAAACGGCCTGAAACAGACATGTTGGGCAGTCAGGGTCCTTCTAATTTCCCCCTCAATTTTCTTGTAGCCGTTTCATATTAATTTATTTGTTCTGAATGGGTAATATTCCATAAAACCACAGTGCTCCCTACAGACTTCCACAAATTGTCTTGAGAATGAAAGACTAAATGGGACCTTCAAAGAGGATCCTGAATTACATTCTGAACAGTTCTAAACTGGGTGTGAAGAAATGTTCTTGTTCCAGAGCAGGAGGCTAACAATTAAATTGCTTTCCAGGAAATGCCGTTCTGAAGAATCTTTGCCATTGACAAAATCTCTGATTTCTTATGTGAGCACTCTATTTGTTAAGCTGACATGAGCAACATTTCCACCAGCTTTGCCTCCTGTTTGTCTTTTAAGAAGAAAGACTAAGCCCTCCTCAGGGCAGTTCACTGACAGAAATCCTAAAGAGTCCATTGAGCTTCACCATGTTTCAGAGGGAAGCACTCCGATTACAGAGAGGAACAGAGTTCCAGACAACTCCTGCTAATTCCTAGGTGGTTGACTGCATAAGTTTAGGAGCCAGCATACTGAACACTCTGGGTGTTCTGGAAGCCACTGTGAATTGGAAGACTCCATATTTGATAGGAGGCTCCACAGCACCTAAATCAAGAGTCTAGGCATCCAAGAGTTAGGTTAAAGATGAGATGTGTTAAGCTCTGTGGTAAAGATTCACAGCTTAATTAGGGATGCAGAGACAGTGAGTCAGATTTCTCGCCCCAGAGTCAATCGCTACGCTCACTAAAAGTAGACCTGGTCTGCACTATTTCTTCTAAGAGGTATCTTTATTCTTTCTTGATTATGAAATGATTCTCTTTTTTTCTCTGATACTTGTATTATTTCTCATTTCTTGTTAATAAATGTTCCACTAAACACTTGACTAGAATGCTCAAAAGAAGGAAGATCAACGCAGTATGTTTGGTACTTTTTTCCCCAGTAATATTAAAGTAAGAATTTCATATTCCTGTACTGGAAAAATACATATTCGGAGGAATGTGTGGTGGGATAGAATAACGGGGCAAGAAGGTGTGCACTCACTGTATTTTCACTCATGATTTCATCTATAGCTGAACATGTGTGCTACTTAAAAGCTTTCAACTACTAACCTGCTAAGGGATCATTCCTGTGCTTTTCCCAGAAGTCTTCAAATTCCTTGCGAACTTCTTCATCAATTACAACCCCTGCTAGCTGCTCATTGTTCACTTTAACATAGTTGGCTTTCAGAACAAGCTCCAAGTCACAGCGTGCATCCTCGTGAAAAGGTTTCCACCTTTGCATTACCACTCCATACACTGTGATGTCATCTCCTGGTGACAAAAATTTATAAAATAACATCTGACTTGAGATACACAGATGCGTCAGTTAACTGTAATACATAATAATACAGTTGAGATCATGTGTTAACAGTTAATAAGGTTAAAAAACCCCAAAACGAAAAGCAAACCTCCTGTAGCTACTGCAAGTCTAAAACAAACATTGGGTAGATTGCTTCTGTCTGTGGTAGGAAGTTTCTATCTTTCTGTTTCTGTTTAAGGTAGGTGAATTCTTGAAGGTATACCTCTGCTTGGTTCCTCTTTCAGGAAAGAGGAATTCACAGTAAACTGTAGAAGCTCTTCTTTCATTTACTATACAAAAAATTCAGTCAAAACATATTTGACTTCTGGTAACTTTTACGATGAGTTCCAGAATGACTCGTTAACATCCTGGCCACAGTGTTCTTCTAAGAAAGTACAACATGAAATGAATTCTTTCTGGGGATGCGCCTATCTGAGAAATTTTAGTCCCGTTTTCCTACATCCTCCTGCCAGTTAGCTTCCTTTTTGAATGCCAAGTAGCTTTTTCTACCTGCAGCGCTCCTTTAGATAGGAGGTCAGGTTACCCAGCTCTCCGAACCTACAGAGAGGCACCACACACTGTGTGATGGTGTGGACCAATTTCCTCAAGAAGTTTGGTGTTCCCACACTAACAAGATTTAATATACTTTCTGTACATTACAACACATTACTTATTGAAACTGATCTGTCAAACAGTACAGATGTAACATGGGGATGTATGACATTTTCGAGAATAGTCTTCCAACTGCCATGCTAACCTCCAAGCTGAAACAGCAACGTGACAGACGAACAGATCTCATTCGACAAGCCCCCAGCACCAACAGTCTACTTGGCAAAGATTCATCTCAAATGGAAAAATAAAAACGCTTGTGCTACAAACATATGCGAAATATGCTGTATCCTCACCGGACTTGCAACTGTCCACTAAGTCATCTTCCAGAACAACCACCATGCAACGAGGGATGCTTCCAACAGACAGTCTTTGAACCTAGGAGACAGGAAGGAAAAGCACTTCTTAGTAAGAAGACCATCTTTCAAAAGCCATTTACTGTCTCTCTGGCTTAAAGACTTACGTTCTTTTCCTGGAACTGAGGTCAATCCTTGCTGCTTCTCACAAAACTTACACAGTAAACATGCTGCTGCTGCCATGAACTTAATAACAGAACTTTAATGCTTATATTAATGGAAACAGGATTGGGTATTAGATCAGCTGAACTTGCTCAGTCCTGGGAGGTGCTGTGTGATTTTAATATCTCGCTGAAGAAAGCTTGCTAAAAGAATTCCTTTGAAAGAGCCATTTTTTTTTTTAATAATTTGAGATATTTTTAGATATTTCTTCAACATGCAAAGTTTACTTTGGGTACTAAAGCATGCCCGTGGATTAGATAACCCTTCACTGAAGTGTATACTGAAGGATTATTCTCTACATCTTTCTGGCATTTAACTACGATTTGACAGGTTGAGATTTAAGTTTACGTCTAGGCGTCAAGGATTAAATCAACAACAGGAAGAAACAAATCGCACACGACCACACAAATGTATATTGACAAATGTGTCAGTAACTCCTGTAATTCTTCTTATTTTCTCCAGGGCAAAGTCTATGCCATCTTGTCACGATCTATTTCCAACTGGCAATCTTTCCATTTACACTCAAAGCTTGCAATAGTAGAATAGAATAGAATAGAATAGAATATGCACAAGAACAACAATCAGAACTATCTTTTCATTCTCAAGAAGCTCAACATGAGCCGGCAATGTGCGCTGGCAGCCCAGAAAGCCAACCGTATCCTGGGCTGTATTAAAAGGAGCGTGGCCAGCAGGTCGAGGGAAGTGATTCTGCCCCTCTACTCTGCTCTTGTGAGACCCCACCTGGAATACTGTGTTCAGCTCTGGAGTCCCCAACACGAGAAGGACATAGAGCTACTGGAACGAGTCCAGAGGAGGGCCACGAAGATGATCCGAGGGCTGGAGCACCTCTGCTATGAAGACAGGCTGAGAGAGTTGGGGCTGTTCAGCCTGGAGAAGAGAAGGCTCCGGGGTGATCTTATAGCAGCTTTCCAGTACCTAAAGGGGGCCTACAGGAAAGCTGGAGAGGGACTTTTTACAAGGACGTGTAGTGATAGGACAAGGGACAATGGCTTTAAACTGAAAGAGGGGAGATTTAGGTTAGATATAAGAAAGAAATTCTTTGCATTGAGGGTGGTGAGGTACTGGAACAGGTTGCCCAGAGAAGTTGTACATGCCCCATCCCTGGAGGTGTTCAAGGCCAGGTTGGATGAGGCTTTGGGCAACCTGGTGTAGTGGAGGATTTCCCTGCCCATGGCAGGGGGGTTGGAACTAGATGATCTTTAAGGTCCCTTCCAACCCTAACCATTCTATGATTCTATGATTCTGCAGCACAGGCCATACGTGCTAGAATTCCACATCCATTCACTCTCTAATGCCTAGGAAGGTTAGTTCATCCTAAATGGCCACAGGCAGTTCACATCACTGTCAGTACTGGTGGCACATGCACAGTTACTTGCAGAGCTCAGTAAGAAACATGAGTTAAATTAATTCCTGGTTTAATTTTACTGTGTTTAATAAGCCCGTGCTGCTGAAAATCCTTTCCATCATAGTGATCTGCGTGTCACACAGTAAACCAAAAATAATGTTATAGAAACCATATGTCAGAAACAATCATAATATAAACATGCAGCACAGGGCTTATTTCCTAAAAATAGTTTTATTCTCTTACTTTTTTTCTATTCTGAACTTTAAAGAGTTTCATTTCTAATTTCATACATGTCTGTTTTCATACATCTTGCATGCTGATGGACACCACTATACTTTTAACTTATAAAATCAAAACCCTGAAACAACTGAAGAGATCTTAGAAAAGATTTATGAAAAAGACACTGAACATGTAAATAAACACAGAAACATTGCCTGTAATACACTCTATTATTCTCAATTTTCATGCAGCATAGATTTTCTTGTGCCAGTTTTGCCTTTGTTACGCGCTACTGTAAAAAGAGGTCTGATTATTCTTACTCCTCCAGCTTAGCTGTATTTCCACCCAGGGCTACCTTCAGAAAAACAAATGCAAATTCCGTCAGGAGCATATAATTCAGTAATTGTTAAACTCACTATTGGCTGAAGGGAACAGACATTTGCAGACACCATGTATTAACCATACTGTGCCACTACAGCTGGCCTTGGCCACCGCCGGGCTAGGTTCAGTCCTTGGAGAAACGACCCAAATTTGGTCTTTTAAGGATTCAGCATGGAAATTTAACCTATGCACTGATCCCGGGTGTTTCGTATGATCACGAATGGAGTTACCTAATAACGGAAGTCTAATCAACAGCTTCATTCTGACGTAAGCATGAACAGTTTCATTAAAATTAGAGGAGTGACCTTATTCCAGCAGGAAATTAAGCCCTCAAATGCCTTCTTTAGTAAGTTAACTATTTTTCTAGTTGAGACATCTATACCTTAATACCCTCCCCTTTTTCGCATCTTATTTTTTTTCACCTGTTCCTGAATTTTGATTTCTTGATAGTCTCTGCAGCAGGTAGAAGAGGTTGTTCCAGAGAGACATGTGAACTTGGTTGAGTTGCAGCCTTCTGCATTGAGACAGGCTGATGGACGACAGAACGCGTAGTACTGTTCAAAGTCAGCCTTGATGACAAACACATGCTTGCACTTATTGCAGATATAACTCCGTTCAAACTCCAAAACTTTCACCAAACCGGTACGTATGACAGTCCCAGTAACAGACAAAAAGTGACCCACATCTCTGGTTTTAGGAATGTGCTCTCGAGTCAGCTCTGGGCAAACAGGCAAACCTGTTTAAAAAAAAACAAATGTGCAGCATAAGGCTGTGCATATAAAACATGAGCTTACAACGCAGTTAAACAGAAAAAATTGTCAGATGTATTAACAGTAGCCATTGCTATTACTTTTTCATAAATGTCATTCAACAATTCATCTGTTGTACCATAAATCTGATTCACTGGCCTCAGACAGTGAACAACATCAGACGCTGAGCACTGACAGAAAACGTCGCCGTTTTACCCTCCTGCTCTTGCCAAGGGCTGAATAGTCATGAGCAGTTTCTATCCACCGAAATAGCTCCCAATGTTCTTAGATCTATTTATTGATTTAAATCATCTTTTGGCAAATGCCATTTATTCTACAACTGGTTTATCTGCATTACAAAATTGTAGTTATGCTACTTAATTGTGGTTCAGTGTTATTCCCACATTTAAACAAGGGTAACTCCTAATCTTGTGTCAATTCTCAAGTCTAAGCAAATTTCAAATCCGCAGTCTGTGAGCATTTGATCTTAAATTCACACTGCATACCAGTACATTCCAAGCACAAGGAAGATGGCATAAAAAGAATATAAAGGGGTTATGAACACAACCAAAGCAAATTCACTTGCATGTTCAAATGAATAATGACGGAACATTTTCGTGGCACTTGCTCTCCTTTAATTCCACCCCAACAGCCAGTTACATGGTTTACTGATCCTGCTCCGCATTCACCTGTGTGGGTGAATCCCTTAGCACCGCAGCGGCTAAAATCCTCAGGAAGATTAGTCTACCTCAACAGCCTGCAAAGCCTTTATAAAAATAAATGGTCTCTGAAACGCACACCTGAAGACAGCATCAAAATACTGCCTCTTCAGAAGTTAGTATATGAACTACAAGATACTAATAATTACCAGCTTAAAAAATTTAAATTACTTGCTTTTAAAATAATTTCTTAGCTTTACTTCCAAAATAGAGCTAGGAAACAGAGATGCGAAATAATAACTCTGCTGGAAAATTATGTTTCTAAGGGGATCAAAACTACTTGTGCATTTAGGTCAAATCTTCTTAGTAGCTTTGGCTGCTAAAAAAAAAAAGACATCATTTATTTCAGTGTTTTCAAACTCAAATGCTTTATTTCAGACATGCTGAAATATTCTGGTTTGATGCTTTTAAGCAAAGTGTTTGTCTTTTTGCTTCTGTTTAAAGGAAATATTTCTAAATATTAAGCTAATTTTAAAACTTAAAATTAAAGTAAAAAAAAAAGCAAAGTAGAAAGGAATTAAATAATCTGGAAAAGGAATAAAGTATTATGCAGAACTGCAAACAAATTTTTCTGGTTGACTGTAACAAAGCTATTTCCATATTCTACCAAATCTGTTGAAAATTCTTTTTCTCTCACAGCTTTGCACTTCTGTTCAGTTCAGGCAAAAAACAAAAAAAGATAAAAGCCACTATTTTTCCAACTGCTTTGGCATCTTTCATTCTCAGCTCAGTATTGGTGCAGCTCAACAGCCTTGGCAAATACCACACATCTTACGCTAGAGAGAGCTGCAGCACTGTTGCCAGGATATATGATCTGATCATCTCTGTGAAGAGTGAAGAGACGAGAGTCTGGATGGGGAAAGAAAGAGCCTTCGTTCTGGTGATACCAGACTGCTTGACAAACTTTGAGTATGTGAATCTGAATCAGCTTTACTACGTTAGTAATAACGTGTAAAACTGAACTATTAGAAGCAGCTTGGCTACCAGTAACAGACACAGCGGTGCTCAGGCCAACGGTAAGTGAGAAAAAAATCTTTTAATAGATTTGTAGCAAAAGGAGAAGTTATAAAATCAAATTCCTACAATGCTAAGATTCAGATAAAGAACTTCACCTTTTACTTTCTTTAGTGAACTTGGGGTAATCATCCATTATTAATCACTTGATATTCACACTCCCCGAGTCCTTCTCTCATCTCCTAGATGCCCTGTCCATATCGGTATGAGCATGCTAAGATTGCATTCTTATATCCAGCATAAGCAAAACCACTTTTCCTCACTTCAGTCTCAAGCCTGACAGGCAGATACCCTCAACCCCACTCCAGGTAGTCCCTGCTGCTCCCACCAAGAAGTGCACCACCTTCTCCTCCTCTCATTTGATGTGGGAATGGGAAGTGGCACTCCAGGACAAGAATCCTGAAGGTAATCGGAATCACTTTTATTTTTATTTTTTTTTATTATTACTTTTAATTACTTAAAAGATAACAGTATCACGGGAAAATTTGGCTGGAAAAAAGCCTACAGATCGTTTAGCTTGCTTTTGTTTCTTCAGCAGTGGTGGTACAGAACATAAACCAAAGTACCGGGTCAGACGTTCTTTTGATCCAGCTGGACCACATGAGGATAACCACCCCCTGCTCTTCATCATTTTCCCTCCTGTTTAGTGATGGAGTAATTTGTAAGTCTGTCGACTAACTTTTTCCATCAGTGATCAGTCAGACTTGCTTTTATCAGTTATTAAAACTATTTGATCAAACATGGCTAATTTTGCCTGAGGTTGATTAGTGAATATTCAGACAAACCATCACTGTGGGAGGAATGGTCAG